ATCATTTAGAAATTTTAGGACTTAGGATTTTCTTAGAATAGATACTTATTGTAAATACAATCCTCTTGTAAGCAAATGAACATCTTGAATAAAATTCGAGAGTGTTCTTTCAATTCACTTGTACTTTAATATTTATGAAATAAAAATCCAACCAATACTCATATTTATTTTCTCAATTGTAAATTTAAATATCCATGAATAATAATTCACCAATTATTTAAATCCACCTTTGAGTTGTAACTTATGAATACTTATGGATAAAAGTCCCAAAATATTTAAAACTCACTTCTCCTTTGCCTTGATCAATTTTATAACTAATATCCCGCAACATGATAATATCCGAATAAATTCAAACTACAATCCCGTTGATCGCATAACTTCTCTGAACAACCTTAACATTATCCATTTCCTTTTCAGCCCAAACTCCAATATTTATTAGGAGGGAAAGTATCTCAAAACAAAACACCGAAACGGCCCCGAGTCCAATTATACTTTGACAAGAATTTCTCGATACCAGTCGAAATATGCCGACACTTTGATATAATCAATCCATGTAAATAAATGCCTCAGGAATAATGTCTCATTTGTCTAAAAAATTAACGGACTCCACGTGAAATGGCCAAAATGCCCCTGTGGTACTTCCTAAAAACAAAACGCACTCATATGACTGGTTAGTGATTAATGGATGCAAAATGGAATGCTATGCGATATGAATCGACTAAATATAAGGGTAAAAATTTGGGATATTACTAGAACAATAGTGGTTTCAATAGCAATGAGGTGGGATCTTAAGGTCAAAAATTAGGGTGCAACAACAGCGAACGAAACTCGTCCCCGACTCGCACAACGAAAAATCCTTAGCATAGCGAATAAACTTGCCAAGATTCGCACAACAAACTTGCTAGCGAACGTAGCAGAGTTTCGTGAATTCTGATTTTGTGCAGTGATGCCTCGATGTCTTGATGCTGTGATTTCTTTGACGAATTAATATGAGTATGAATGTGATTTTTATGTGATTAATATATGATTATATGATGATTCCTATGATGTAATGATGACGAGTTATGATGATAGTTCCATGAGTTTTGATGATTCTATGATGACATGATATATGATGATGATGATTTTGATGAATGATGATGCACTTATGATTCTATTATGAGGATGATTATTGACGTGTGCATCATGCATTCATGTGCATCCGGACTTTGGTTCAGGACCTTGATTTCTTTGGCTTCAGTCCCATTGTGCGAATGTGAGGTATTTTAATGTGCTCCGGTTCTCAAGTAGAATCAATCCTATTGATGGGGACCTATGAAGGGTTGAAGGCTTAGTGTCCATCGAGCTGTGATGATTGGTACCACATGCATGAGTCTTGTAGCATTTGCATTTATGAGATGATCTTGAGTAATTTATAATGTTGTGGCCTTTGATGCCCATTAATGAATATGGTGATGTTGAATATGAAAATGACGCAATTTTATATATTGATTTCTTACCTTGATTATTATGAATCGTTTTACTCACCCTGCCTGTTTGAATGTTGCCTCCACGTGGGTAACGTGCAGATGACCAGGTTTAGCCGTGGATGCCGTCAATGACTTTTGAAGTTTTGGATCGTTGGCCATTTTGGTTAACTTAGAGAGTCTTGCTCTGACAGTGTAACATCGAGTTGAGGTCTTTGAGTTAAACCATGTTTATTTGATTTTCTGTTATTTTGATTATGTTTCCGTACAAGGAAAACTTTGGATTATGCCCTTTTGAGTTCCGCTGCAATTTTTGATATGTTTTGGGAAAACCCAATTTTTACGGAACCTTGACCTATATTTGATTTATTGGGAAATGTACGCCCTTTGAGGTGATTTTTTTTAGTTTAATATTTTACTCTGATAAAATGTGAATATTTTGTCATTAAAATTATGGGGTAGAAAAGGGTGTTACACAATGTATCACCTCTGTTGGTTGTATGGTTTATTTTAAGACATGATAATGCACTCTTTTTCCTTGCATTTTGTAGTAAGACACATGGGTTTTTAATGAGGCGCCCCACATTATTATATGAATTTTGGTAGACTTTTGTTCTGGTTTTGTAGGAATTGAGGTACGGAGTCGAGAATCTTGTTAAAATCGCTCACGAGTAGATTATCCATGATAGATCATCATAGAGGAATTGAAATGATTTATGCTAGATCCTCATGGAGTAATCCTTGTCACCAAAGAGAAAATTATTTATGGTAGATTCTCATGGAGGAATCCTTACCGCCCAAGCGGTAGTTATTTATGCTGGATCCTCATGGAGGAATCCTTGCTGCCCAATAGGAAATCATTTATCCTCGATGTAAGAAAATCCACAACAAGCTAGGGGATGATAAAATACTAGAAAACAAAGAAACTTGTTTGGCCAATTTGATCAAACTAATTTGTTACGAGGGAGAGAACATTTATTTGATTCACTATACTTCCTAGGATTTTTACAAGATATTGCAAAAGAGTTATAAGAAAATAGTCACCCAAGTTCCTAAGAACAAACCTTATTTGCTAACTAAGAGTTTCTTAATCTATTAAACTCTCTATATATGAATCACAAAGACCAAGGTGATTAGAAATGTTTCCCACCCCCTCAGATACCTTCAAATGTTTCTCGAATCCAAAAGAATAATCATAGGAATTTAAACCCATGTTTATTTAAGTTTCCTTTAAGATTTCCACCTCATCCATATAAAGGCTCTTTTAGAAAGAATGATAAATGCACATATTTATAACTATTGAAATCCAATAGATCTATAACAAATGCAAAATACAACCGATAAATAAACGGATCCACAAACAGAAACGACCAAGTCTGATACTTGGGAACCGCATTAACCATACCAATGCCCAAAGGCCGCCCGAACCCTATCCGACTTCCGCCACAGGCCGAACTTTAACCATAGTGAAAACCATTGAAGCTTCCACTTAGGCTTTGCTACCAGTCACTTGAACCACCAGACTACCGCCACCGTAGTTATGACTTCCTTCATCGACCTTTCAACAATTTTTTTTTATAGATTTTTTGCAAATTTAGTTTCTAATAGTCTCAAAATAAGATTTCTTGCTATTTATTACTTAAGGTTTTAAGGAACATTTCTACAATATGTGACGCTCTCCATGTTGTGCACTTGGGTTTTAGATGCCTTGTATTTTGAGATTTGTAGTAGCGCAATGATATTGGTCGATCCTCGCCTTTAAATAGAATTTTTTCATTATCCGCATGGATTGTGCCTTACCTTTCCTCAAAGGCTTAGACGATGAACAACATACTCAACTCTTTAAAAGAAAGTTCATTTTGTGGTTGGTTATTAGAGTTGTAAAGGCCAATGATGGTTGAGTATCGTTGTTGCTTGGTGGATATGTAGGAAAGGGGATGAACTTACTTGATTTGTAAAGGATTTGAAGTACAATTGTTCCACAGGACGACGAGGATGATATTTTCCCGTATATGACTCTCGATTGATTTTGACAATTTTTATTGTAGTGGATTGGGTTGTTCCGACCTCGATTTTCGTCGTTGTATTTTTGCCTTTGCTTACCATTAGATATTGTTAGCGGGAATTTGAAAACGTCACAAGCGATTTCCACCAACGACATCAAATGATTTAGGAACAAACCTTTTTTATTCATGTTTTAGAAGTGAACGAAAATGTGACGGTGGACTCTAGTAAGAACTTTTCTGGTCTAATCAGGGAAAGGGTATCTGCATACCTTACCACTCTTAAGTCATTGATTATCATAAACACAAGTCTTGTTTTGGTTAAAAGTATGTGTACTTTAACTTTTATAGTGTTATTTTAGGTTTTTATAGGATCTATAACATTTTATTTGTTATAGATGTTTGAGAAGATATGTGTCATGATATCCTTCAATATATGATTTTATAGCCTCTAGGGTTTTGACAACTTCTCAGTAGGAGTACTTGAATGGAATGTCTAAATTAAGGTTGCAAAACCTTCTTTTGTGGATACATATCTCAAAGGGATGACATCAGTAGAGTGGTATCATTATAGATTATTTGTCTGAACTGACTGTCATAGGAAGCTTAATCGACCACTATTTTATATGGTATTAGGGTAAGACCATTTCACGACTCTCATATCTTTTAAGTCGTTCCTATAATGTAAATATTTTATGGTATCTTCTAGGCTATGTTTGGATACGGTAAAACGAACGGAGCAGAATAGAGCGGAACAAAGTGAAATGAAGTGGAACAAATACCATTCTATTGTTTGGGTATTTTAAGACAGAACAAAGAAATTTTATCATTCCGGAGGTACAAAAAGTGATGGAATAGGATGAAATGTATTCCATTAGATTCCACTCGATTCCTTCCATTTTTAATTAATCTAAACAACGAAATTTAAGTTTATTCCATTCCATTTCATCACATCCCATTCCATTCCATCGATCCAAACATATCCCTAGGATTGTTAAATGTATTCGACGACCCATGACATTGTGCGACGTTGAAAAAAAAAGATTGAACCCTAAGTTTAGATTTGAATAATCATAATATATTTATTGTGTAGATCACCTTGAGTATATTGGCCATAATGACAAGTTCGGTTTGACGGGATTTCCAATTTATTTTTTAAAATTTTGGTTGTTGTTTGATATTTATAGAGTGATCTTTCTCCCGTTTGCAATTGGGTGTCATTTTTAAAATTTATTTTTAATAAATAAAATAAAATAAAATACTTAAAATTGTAAAGCAATTAAATTAAAAAATTAATTAGAAAAATGAACACAAAGACCGTATACGGAATGAAACGCGCGTTTTATACGAGCATATAAATTGGATCCAGAGCTAAACCCTAATTTCTGCCGTCCATCTTTCACTTAACAGTGTGCAGTTCATCCGTGTTCTCTTCAGGTAATCGTCTCCTTTTCTACCCACTCTCCAATTTCGCTTTAATTTTCACTGAAATTGAATCTCGTTTTTGTTCCAGAGCTTCATAGAAGAAAAAATGGGTCGAGTAGATGCAGCTGGTTCCAAGGGGAAGAAGAAGGGATCTACAACATTCACCATCGACTGCGCTAAGCCTGTAGAGGATAAGATCATGGACATTGCTTCTCTCGAAAAGTTTCTTCAGGAGAGGATTAAGGTTGGTGGTAAAGCCGGTGCTCTCGGTGATGTTGTCACTGTTTCACGCGAGAAGAGCAAGATCACTGTTACTTCTGATAGTAACTTCTCCAAAAGGTTGTTCACTATTTTTATAAATTTTTAATTTTTGTAACTTGTTTTGTTGATTTTGTTATGAGTTTATTGTTTCATTTGATTGGGTGATTTGTATCTTCTTAGATAAAAGGGATTTGACATGTTTTTAAAGTTGGATTTTAAGTTTGTTGCAAATTTTGCATTTTAGGGTATTAATAGATTTTATATTGAGAGAATTGTTTGCAAAAAAGTGATTTCACTAGTATTTGGTAATGATATTCTAAAAAGGAGCTAAGCGGTAATAACGTTTGGATTCATAGTATATGATGGAGTGAATTCATAGTATATGATGGAGTGAAGTGGAGTGGTAATAGTCAGATTCCATTGTTTGGATTTACAAATAGTGGATGGAGCGGAATGGAACATTGTGGAATCCATTCCATCCAATCCTTCAATTTTCATTCTGCCCAATTGAGTGTATTTAACAAAATGAACTAATTAGTTATGTTTTATTCCGCCAAATTAACAAAAACACCCAAACAATTGAATGGAATATTTGATTCATTCCGTTCCACTCCATTCCTTTAGGTTCCATTCTGCTCCTCCCTTCTAGTACATCAATCCAAAAACATACCCTAAAGTAAATAATGTTGGCGATCAGAATTGGTTTTTAAATGTTTTAAAATCCTTCTGGGTGGTATGCCAAACACGCCAGCAGTGCAGTTGTAACATTTCAGCATAGGCACAAGATAAGTTTGCTCTTACCATAGCTTTTTATCAGACATGTAATTTTATGTTAACTTTTGAATAATTGAATGTGTAATCCGCTAGTATTTGATTTTGAGTGATTGAGCAACACCTTTCAAATGTCGTTGGCTTTTTGTTCTGTTTTTTTTATGTTGCTCCGAATTGTAATGATGGATTATTTTGAAAATGGAAATGTATATTTTCTCTGTTTTTCTATCCCCTACTTCAATTGGCTTTTGGTTGATTGTAAATTGTTCATATTTGGATGTGTCATCAATAAAATTCATTGCTATTCTGCACTACTTTATCTTCAACTTCTGGAATCAGTGTTTTAGACATGATTTATTTATGTGATTTGAAGGATCTTGCATGTATTTCTAACATCTCATATTATTTCAGGTATCTCAAGTACTTGACCAAAAAGTACTTGAAGAAACACAATGTCCGGGACTGGCTCAGAGTGATTGCTTCTAACAAAGACAGAAATGTTTATGAATTGAGGTACTTCAACATTGCTGAGAATGAAGGAGAAGAAGAAGATTAATTGTGTGCTCATCTTATTTATATTAGAACCGATGTTCAACTCTTTACTTGTGACATCTTCTCTTTTGCGTGATTATTGTTTTAAGACATGTTGCTTTGGTTGCAATTTAACAATTTTGTTTAATTAGTGATGCTACTTTTGTTTGAATGGAAATAGAGTTCTCCTATTATACAATCAAGTTCCCTCTTCGTTAGAATTCTTCTGTGGTAACCTTTTTACCTTGAATCTCAAATTTCAGTTCCTCCCCCTTCCTAGGTCAGCATCCCATCATTCGTTCCCACACTGTTTTGGAACTCAAAATAGGGGTTATGAAGTGATCTTTTATTTGTTCCAAAGGGGTAGCAGCTTGCTTGTCATGCTCACATATTTGTAAGGGGAGGGATGAATCTTATGGTTATTCTTAGATAGGAGTGCAACTGTTTTAAGCTAATTTCTTTAAATATTGGTATCAGAAATGTTCTACTCTGTCCTAAAAAATTATAAGTTATTTTCTACCTCTGTTCTAAATTATAAGTTATTTTGCAAAAAATATTTGTCTATAATTATAAGATCAACTCTAATGGGAGTTCTTAAGGTGGATTTGCACTCATTTTGTTGTTTTCAAGATTTCTATGTTGTTCAACCGTTCTTAATTAAGCAACGGTTCGGTTCTTCAACGGTTCTTATATTAAAATATTAATTTTATAATATAAAAACTATAATTTAATATAAAATTTTATTTATCATTTTAATTATCATATGAAAATTATAATTACAATATTAAAATATCGATTTTATAATATGAAAACTATATTTTAATTATAAATTTAATTTGAATTTTATTTATTTTATTTTTATTTATTTTAAATTCTAATTTTAATTTCAATTTTTTTTATTTTATGTCAAATGTAATTTAAAATACTAAAATTAACTAAGGAGAGATTGAAATATTTTTTTAAGTTTAATCTAATTTTTTTTTAAGTTTATATAGTAGAATGAAATATTTTTTTTTTATAATTTTCTATAAAAAAATTAAAATTATTATTTTAAGTAATATAAAATTTAATATGAATAAAATATTAACATATAAAGTAAATCTGTGGGACCCATTCAATATGAGTTTTTCAGAATTTGAAAATTTAATTGAGTTGTTTCAAACTGACGTGGCTTAATAGGTCTCACAAAGAACCCAAAAATGAGTTCGATGCTCTAAGTCATTTTTGAATTTCAATATAACATTAGTGACTTTTTTTTAATATATTTTTTATTATTACAATTCACTTTTTAAATTTATTAAATAATTAATGTATTTAGTTTATAAATTGATTAAATATATTAATTATTCAAAAAATTTAAAAAATGAGTTGTCTCTTATAAAAAAAAAGAAAGCAACAGAAAAGAAAAAGGATCAGAGGGAGTATTTATTTCTCTTTCTTTTTATTTTTTTAGTCCATTTTTTAATATAATTAATAAAAGATAATTTTGCAAAACTATAGATCATTTTAAAATAATAATTGTATTTCTTAAACTATGAGGGATGAGTTTTTCTTTCTAAAATCTAATAGCAATCCTTTGACAATTTACACGATTGCTTACTAATCTGTTCGGAATTATTTGCAGTCGTTTCTATTATGCGCATTGCAATATCTCATTCCTCTCTTTTAGAACTAGAATGTGAGCTGCTATATCTCCTTCCTATCTTTTAGAACCAGAATCTGAAACTAGAGGAGGTTGGTTGACGTGCAGGCCTATGGCAATCCGCAATCCAGCATGCCCAACACACGACGGACTCCCAAGAGTCTGGATAAATCCTTCCAAGACGTGTAACAGCTTTCAATTTCTTGTTCGGATAAGCAAATTCAATTGTTTAAAGGATTTGGAGCAGTTGGTTCCCTGCAAAACAAAAAGCAGTCATATAGGAAAACTAAATGAAAATGAGACACCATGGGTGCCGTTATATCTTCACTTAGTGTATGTCTCCTCTATTTACTGCCTAGTAAATTAGGGACGTGTGAAACCAACTTTAATTATATTGCCAAGCGAGACAACAAACCGACATTCTATAATAACGAGAATCGTAGTATAAATTGATGGGAAGGTGTTTTTTGATATACACAATTTTCATTTTGAAGCAGGTATAGAGACGAAGACAGAGAATTACGTAGATAGAAGGACGAAACCAACCCACTTGTCCTGATCGGAACGATTGAAGAAAGAGAATGGTGGCCCCTTTCGCCCAGGGGGCATCGTCGGAGAACTATGTCGGGGACAGGGGGTGAGAACCTTCCGTTGGTTACGCCCTTTAAGTGTTGGTTCTTTCTAAGATATGGAGATAGATCCAGAAAGATATATTAAGAAATGGATATTATTGATCTGGTTTCAAAATTTATGAACAAGAGAGATCCCTAAAGATCCATTTGATAAAAGAGATGAATAGATAGGGCGGAGCCGGCTGAAGGAAGGGCGCGTAATATATATATATATATATATATATATATATATATATATATATATATATATATATATATATATATATATATATATATATATATATATGAGAAAATTATGATATGAACATAATAATTAATAGAAACATTTTTAAAAGATGTCTATATTTAAGCACATCAAATTTATTTTTTATTGCTTTTTCCTAATACAAGACGTCCCCTTTTATAGCTAATGAGATCCACAAAAGACAGGAAAGATACTATTAACAAGCATGTTATCATAAGTATTGTAGATATTCTTGATTGACTACATTTTATGGTAAAACATTGCTGTGTGTAAATGTCATGATAGATGTCATGACATACTTGTGTAGTGTACTGCAGGGTAAATTTGGTTAGCTGGAACAGAGTGTATTGGATGTCATGCTGGATGTTATGACATCAGGTAGCGACCAGCTAGGGCGCGTGTTTTTTTTTCCTGGTATAATGCACGAGTTAACTCAGGCTAGATTTCAGGAAACATTTTAGGGTTCGTAGTTATCTCAGGAGAAATGCTAGGCAGTGCTGAGCATAACATGAAATGCCTATGACCTAATTGAAACAACCCTGAATTATGGAAAAGGGTTTAACTTGGTTAAACCTAACATCTGCCACTCGGGCCCAAGATCCAGGTGCTGCATATAAATAGACGAGTGACAATCCTAATTGTGCACTTACTGACTTAGAGATTTTAGAGAGTTTGTGAGTGAAGAATTCTGTTTGTGGAATTTGTTCTTCACGTGTGTCATTGTGTCTTAGGATTACTTGTGAGCCAAGCAATCTTCTCCTAGATGGTTGCATTGGACTAGTGTGATTTTGAGTTGTACTTTGGTTGTGTCACTCTAAGCTTTTAAGCACGAGTGCTGTGTCTCTTGATTGAAGCTGTGAAGCAAGATCAAAATTTGTTTGAAGTGTGTCTTCCTTTTTATCTGTAACTTAATTGTTTGATATCACTACTGTGATTGAGGGGGAGTGAGTAGGAACTCAGGTCTAGTGTTAGGCTGAAGTTGCATTGGGTAGGTCTTAAGTGAAGAGTGCAAACTGATAGTTTGACTCTGAATTAACTCTGCTTATAGTGGATTTCCTCCCTGGCTTGGTAGCCCCCAGAGTAGGTGTGATTTGCACCGAACTGGGTCAACAGTTCCCTGTGTTATTTACTGCTTTCATTTTCTGTTTATTGTTAAGTTCTATAGTTTGTTTAGTAGCGGATGTCATAACATCCGTTATAACATCAACTGTCTGTTACTAGAATTTCAATTGGCATCAAAGCAGGCACCCTGCCTATTATTTTCTGGGTGAGATCTAGGGAAGATAAATTCTGGTACTATGGACAAGGATATATGATTCACAAATAGACCACCAATTCTGGATGGTTCTAACTATGACTACTGGAAACCTTGTATGATAGCTTTCTTGAAGTCTCTGGATAGCAAGGCCTGGAGTGCAGCTAACTCAGGATGGGAACATCTAGTGAAGACAGATAAAGATGGATCAACTGTGCTAATTCCTGAAGAAGAGTGGAGCAAAGAGCAAGAAGCTTTGGCTCTTGGGAATTCTAAGGCCCTGAACGCTTTATTCAATGGGATAGATAAGAACATCTTCAGACTTGTGCATCACTGTGAACTGGCCAAAGAGGTTTAGGATACTCTCAAAACAACTCATGAAGGTACCTCTAAGGTCAAGATGTCTAGATTACAGATGCTGACTACTAAGTTTGAGAATCTGAGAATGAAGGAGGATGAGACTATTCATGAATTCTACATGAATATTCTTGAGATTGCCAATACCTCAAGAGCTTTAGGAGAAAAAATGTCTGAAGAAAAGCTTGTAAGGAAGATTCTAAGATCATTGCCAAAGAGATTTGCCATGAAAGTTACTGCTATTGAAGAGGCTCAAGACATCAGCAACATGAAGGTTGATGAACTCATTGGTTCTCTCCAAACCTTTGAGATGGGAGTGTGTGATCATGCTGAGAAGAAGAACAAAAGCATAACTTTTGTATCAAATACTGCAGATGACTCAGATGAAGACAATAGTGGAAGTGAGGAGAATCTATCAGAAGCTATAACTATGCTTGGAAGACAATTTAACAAACTGATCAAAAGAATATATCAGAAGACTAGACCTAATGTCAAGAACATTTCCTCTGACATCAGCAGAAGAGGTAAATATGAAGATAAGTCTAACCAAGGCAAAGGAATTCAGTGCCATGAATATGAAGGATATGGTCACATTAGAGCTGAATGTCCCACTTACCTCAAGAAGAAAAAGAAAGGTCTAAATGTCACTTGGTCAGATAGAGATTCTGAGAGTGGAACAAAAGAAGAATCTGCAAAACATGTCACTGCACTAACTAATGTATGTGTATCTGATGATGATTCTAGTGAAGATGAGTTGACTTTTGATGAGCTTGCAGCTTCATATAAACAGCTGTGTATCAGAAGTGCAGAAATGTGTCAACAAGGGGAGAAACAAAAGAAAATCATAAGGGAGTTAGAGGCTGAGAAGAAGGAGCATCTTGCAACAATAGACTCA